AAAAAAACTACTCAATTCTGATTGGCTTAGAGCAGTATTGTTCAAGCGTAATACCGTAGTGCAAAAAAGCGTAATTCAATGCAGAAAGGTGTATTATGAGATAACTGCTCTAAACCCGCGTACTGATTGGTTGGGAGCGCGTGCTTTAGGATAACACACAGGACGCGCGCGCACTTTCAGCTTCGTCATTCATGTAATTTATATTTTATAAAAGAAATTAAAAACTTGCTTGCAGTACGCGCGCGCGTTTTCTACTTCTTCAATACAGTGCAGAAAAGTGAAACACAGTGCAAATTACAAACGKAATTCTCGCTTTTGATTAGATACTAAAACAATAGGAAATGATTTTAGCCAATAAGATGACAGATTATTGTGACGAAAAAGCAAATCGAGGGAAAAATGGCAGTCATTTCATTTTAGGCAAAAGTAATCAAAGATTTTGCGGATTTTACTATCAAACAACTAAAAAATAGTTCAAAAAAGAAAACGCAAGTAAAAGTACATCGTTTTGGCTGAATATATGGAAGAAATAGTGTAAGAAGGAAACAAACTATGACATGAATTGAGGGAAATGAGCCAGCCGATCTAAAGAAAATACTCGAGCGATTCTTTGCTGAAGTAAAACCTGTGACTTTGTCTGTGACTCTAGGACTGTTTTTGACTATCGAAATGCCGACTGGATAAGTCTTGATTTGAAGTCCTAACCCTAGCCGATCTTTCACCCTCGCCTATCTCTAATCAAGATGTCGACACAGACTGGCAACGCTGGAGTGACACATTTCTTGCCGCTGCCTCTGAACACATTCCATCGAAGACTCTTAGACGACGCAACTCTCCCCCGTGGATTGACAATGACGTTAGGCATCTATTAAAGAAAAAAGAGACAGCTCGGAGAAAAACTAAAGCTAAAACCAACTCTTCCAACTTATGGGGAAAATTTCGCATGTTTCGTCGGCGATCAAAGGCACTTATTGCCTCCAAACGCAGAGAATTCTATCAAACTCTGCCAACGTTGCTCAAATCAAGCACAAAGAAATTCTGGTCGGTMTTCAAATCAGCTTCTAAGCACTCAAACGTACCTTGCACAATGGTTTGGAYACGTGATGATAAGACTACTACAGCTGCTAACAACCCTACCGAAGTTGCAAACCTATTGAATAGTTACTAATAGTCATCTACCACCTCGCGGAGACCATAGTGTGCCTTCAGCCAGCACCATAAACGATATCACTCTCGTCAACTGATGTATGTGACATTCTACTATCTCTAGATGTTAACAAAGCTACTGACCCTGACAAGATTCCAGCTCAGTTGTTGAGGAGCTGTGCYCCTTATATTTGCTCGTCCCCGTGTAACCTCTTCGACAAATGTTTGACTCTAGGGAAGGTCCCATCGGAATGGAAACTTTCTAACATCGTACCAATCCTAAAGATGGACCTACTAAAGAGGTTTCCAACTACAGGCCGATCTCCTTATTACCATCGTCTCAAAAGTAAATGAATGTTGTGTCTATAACAAACTCATCGATCACATCTCCCCCCAGCTTCATGAGCTTCAATTTGGCTTTTTAAAGGGGAAATCTACGAGTACCAGCTTCTACGAGTCCGAGTCCTCTATGAAATTGGTGAACAACTCGACAAGAGAGTGCAGACCGACGCYATCTATCTGGACTTTGCCAAAGCCTTTGATAGGGTTGACCACCAACTGCTTCTCAGGAAACTACAAAGCTTCGGGATAGATGGAAATTTTTTGAAATGGTTTGAAAACTATCTGACAGATCGACTCCAAGGAGTCACCGTCCTTGGTGAAACATCTCCACCACTCCGAGTTATATCTGGCGTGCCTCAAGGATCRATCCTCGGTCCTCTTCTATTCCTGTTGTATGTGAACGATTTGCCCCAAGTGGTAATGTCATCCGTTGCCCTGTTTGCAGACGACACAAATTGCTATTGTGAAATAAAAAAACTCTGAGAATGGGGACAGCCTTCAGCATGACCTYGACCAAATATGTGAATGGTGCAAGGTATGGCGTATGGATCTCAACCTTTCCAAGTTGCTGCCTTTTCTCTATAACRAGGAACGTTTCGCCTATCTGCGTATTCTACCACCTAATGGATTCCACAGTGAAGACAATCATGGGGTCCTTGTCTCCACCGACYTCAAGTGGAACTTACATGTGAGTTACGCAACAGCTAAAGCCAACAAAATGCTCGGCTTTGTGAGAAGATCTCAGCGATCTGCGTGTAYGAACTGCATTGTACTCTTCTCTTGTCCGTAGCAATTTTGCTTATTGCTCGCAAGTCTGGGCCCCGCAAACAGTTTCTCTGATCCTCACAATGGAAAGAGTGCAATGTCGAGCAACCAAATTCATCTATCGCTTCTATTCAGAACAGAGGTAACCTACAAAGATCGCCTTCTTAAGGTCGGGCCGTTACCAGTAACATACTGGCTTGAAATTTTTGGCTTGGTCCATCTATAMAAATGTCTGACTTCAAACAGCGATCCCAATATTTCTATCAAGACATCCAGAAGAGTCACCAGAAGTACATCCAATTGCGTGTTACTAAATGTGCCAAAATGCAGTACTGTAACTTTCTACAACAGCTTCTATTGTAGAGCCACAAGAGTTTGGAACATTCTACAAGTACAACTCGGAAACATTACAACAGTAAATCAATTCAAGAAGGAACTTTTCGATCACTATATGCAATTAACCAAACAGTTTTATAACTTCGATCTCCCACAATCATCATCATCCCTTCAATCTGCATCAAATGCCACTCGAGCCGTCCAATMTGTACTCTCAATGATCGTATGTGTTGTAATTTCATATATTTATATTATTATTATTATTATTATCTTTATTTTTGGGTCCCCGTAGTGGAGCTTTGCTCTTTGGGGTTTCCCTGCCCTTGTGGCGAAGCTTATAAAATAAAAATAAATAAAATGAAATATAAAACAAAAACGAAAACAGAAACGAAAAAGACTATGAGCAAGACCACTATACACGATGTGGTAAGTGCTTATATTTTGGTCTACCAGATTYCAAGACTGAGCCGCAAAGTTTTCTTAACAAGTTCAAAAACAGTCAGGTATAATTTTTTTCAATACTACTCCAGTTAGCTGCAAAGTCAGCCAATCCAAATGTCTTCATTTATAGTGATTCTTRTTTAATTAACAGTAAAAAAACTTTTTACATTAGACAAATAGCCAAATTTTGGTTTAAAATGGGTAAAAAAACTCTTTGAATTACATGCATTTGACACCAAAATCGCTTCGACAGCAGTTTTTTGTGTCTGTCCTCGATAAATTGCGTCATCACATTGTCAAAGTAGTGTGGATCCACGAGGCGTAGCCGAAAAGCCATGAACACCACATTATAAACATTAATTTTGTATAGTGTTTTCATATTGTTAAAAAAGTAAGTGACCTCAAAATGGGGGGAAATATTTGTCTTTGCATCACAATAACCATCATGCCATCACAACCACCATCACCATCGTGCTATCCTTATCATGGTGTCACCATCATCATTGTAGCATCACCATCACCATCACCATCACCATCACCACCACCACCACCACCACCACCACCATCCCCACTGATCACCATAATGAATGACAGCAACATATTTTATAATAATTCACCTACCACACCGATGTAAAGTTGGTAATATTTCCAGAATGTCTTTCTCGTGCGAGGCGACGTTTCTCAACAATGGATAAAGCTGACCCCAATTCTGTTTCATATCTAAATGAAAAAGGATGAATAGTTACTACTGCTTTTACTYGGGTATTTTTTTGAGTTCCAAGGCTCGGTCTGACTTTGTAAGATTTAGTTCTAACGCTCTTGTTGGTCGAAATACCATATGATTTTAGAAGAGAGTATCTAAATTGGTAACGTCATTTCTTTTTCGGGCTTAAGAAAATTCGCACTTTCATTTAAAAAATTTTTTTACGCTTGTTCTTTTATAAAGGAGATATAAAACAGTTTTACRTTCCACATACTCTGATCTATACCCAGTAAACACTTGGATAATTAGACAAAACGAGAGACGTTTCGCGCCGTGGTATCCTACGCTTCTCTCATGTTCTCTCAGTATCCTAGCGTTTAAATTATAGTATTTAAAATGGAAAACTGTTTTATATCTCATTCATAAAAGAACAAGCGTACAAAGTAACAAGACATACTGTTTTATTTTTACTTTATTTTTCGCATAAAGGTGATGCACAGTGATGTGTACTGTACAACGGTTTACTGAACAAATATATAAATTAGGGAATTTGGTTTTGCAATGATCTTCGTCCCGCACCACTCACCTCTCTTGGTTTCCATAAAATCACTTGACCTCGCCCCAAACAAGCTCAACGCATTACACGCATCATTCCACTTAATCTCGAACTCAGCTTCTCCAATTTCCGTTTCAAGTTTACGGCCAACCTCTTCACGCAATTCACCTAAATACTTTAGAGCCTTGATTTTGCCTCTTCTAATAAATAATGGCTTTTCTAAATGTAAAAGAACTTTAATGACAAGTGAAAGGCTCCATTCTAGTGTGTTGCCAGACTTTATTGCGTCAAGCTCATGTGCAAGGGGATTGGTAAACAGTCGTAGCAAATCCTCTCCATTTTTTTCGCAATCAGTCCAGCGTTTATGGCCTTTAACGGCTTTCCATTTGTTGATGAAGAATTGACGAAGCTTGGGTTTTCCAACTTTCAAGAGAAGAAGGACCAGTCTACAAAAATTCCTATTAAAATCGAAAAAAGGAAAGTGGTATGATATATCAGTTATATTCAGATTATAACAAATTACGAATTTTGATCTCCACATGCACTAATAGCATAACCCTCCAACCTTCGTCCGGAACGATACGGCAGTTGCATGTTTTARTGTTCTATTCGTAACTGTCCCACTGTACCCTTGCTTGATAATTGCATAGGCAAACCTTTCAGATCTCTCCAAAGATCCAATTCAAAACAGCGCAAGGGAAGAAAACCAGGGAGAGAAACGCAGATCAGGAAAGAGAGTGCCAAATCGACATTCGACCTCATTTTTATTTATATATTCATATTCTATTTATACCTTATTTATATATGTCAGGTGACTGACTATCAAAAATTAATTAGAAAACTTTCTTAGAAAGATAATTGTTACAGAATTTAACGCTGATTCCAAAAATGAAAAGAAAAATGGGGTGTGCCCAGCTTGTTTTCGAGATATTAAATTTTGAATATTACCATCTTGACAAGTTTTCGAAAGCTAAGAAAAATGGCGGAAACCACAATAAAAATATRATTCAGAACTCAAAAAATAGAAAAGCTACGGCAGTAATTTTCTCAGGATATCTATTTTAAACACTATTTTCGATAACTAGATTAAAATATCTTAAGAAAGTTTTAAGAATAAGMTCCAAATTCAGCATTATGTTCTGTGTTTCATGAATCGAAAATCGCAACAAAAACAAACACAACGGTTTTTCTATAAGTTCTAACTCTCTTGGTTCTAATAATTACGTTCTTTGAAACTTTGACAAAATTTCGCTTTTTAGGAAATTCAAAGAAAAATATAGAGTCCCGTGCAAAATTTTAGCTAGGGTTTTGCCCTTTTGTMATGTRTGGTTCCTCAATACAATTTTGAAGRKTATTTAGCGGTTTTGAGCTGTATTTGTGTGTACGCACACCGTGGGCTCAAACGGAACCCCAGGCAGTCATCTTAAAGTGATTATGGCCTAAAGTGATTATGCTAATCAGTGACTTCTCATACATGCATACTAGTAAGGCCATTGTGAACAGAAAAGTTGATTGAAGATGTACTTCTTGTTTACCTCGTATCTGCTTGAAGGTCCATTTATCTCTGTYCTGATGAAGTCTATTTGAGACAATTGCACATTGATGTAATGACTTTGCTATTTTGYTTTTTCTCATTGTTAATTAATGGATAAAGTAACAAGTGACAAATGTAGAACACGATCGAATGGAATAGAATAAAATAGAATAAAATG